CACACAGAGGGTTAGGTACTGCCATTCCTTCCTTCCCCCCACCCCCCCACGCTTCATCATTTTCTTGCCCGGAAGGTCATTGAACCTACACGCTCATTTGCTTAACAAACATAATAATGATGGGAAGTGTTTATTTGAATTTTTTTCTGTTGTTGGTTGTGGGGCTTGACCTCAAGTCCTAGGCACTGTCCCTGAGCTCTACCACTTTGAACCACCATGCCACTTCCTGTTTTCTGTGGTTATTGGAGGAAAGAATCTCACAAATTTTCCTACCCAGGCTCGTTTGGATTGGCGATTCTCAACTCTCAGCCTCCTGAGTAGCTAGGATTATAGGCATGAGCCACCAGTCGTGGCTGAGACATATTTATAATCATGAAAAGCATAGCACCAAATTCGGGGGTGTAGAGAAAGGAGACCCCAAGACAAACCTATAGCCCCCACCTTCTCCACTCACATAGGGGCTCTGGGATGTGGGCTGGTGGCTCATGCCTATAATCCTAGCTACTTAGGGGGCTAAGATATGAAAATCATAGTTCAAAGCCAGTGAAGGCAGACAAATCTTATCTCCAAATAACCAGCAAAAAGCCAGAAGTGGAGATGTAGTTCTATTGGTAGAATGCCAGCCATGAACAGAAAAGCTGAGAATGCAAGAATTTAGGCCCCAGTACTAATACAAAGATATACAAGAGTCTGGGTTGGGGGTACATATTTAGGAACTGTGTAGCCAGTAATTGAAGCCATATGCTGTAGTGACATTAGAGGTGGCACTGGAAGATGAGAGGATGTAGGCCTTGGTGAACTTCCGCTTTTAGTACTGGGCTGAGGGGAAATAATCAGTTGAGGAGACTGAATCCAGAAAAATGCAGACTCAGGGAAGTGGTGGGAAGTGAAAGTCATGGATTGTGGGAAGTCTTCTATGGGGGGAAAAGTGAATTATGGGAAAAGTTCCCATGGAAAGGGGCCCACAGGAGTTGGCATCGTAGAAGTCACTGGTGGCCTGGGAAAGGCACATCTCTACTGAGTGGTGGGAGCAGAAGCCGCATGTGACTGAGCTGCAGGAAGAAGGGAAGATCAGGTTGTATAACCAGGAACAGCATCCCGGAGCCATATTGGGCAGAGGAGCCACATGAACATATGCAAACACACACACACACACACACACACACACACACACACACACACACACGCCATGGTATGCTGTATGGGGGACCTTAAGCCAGTCAGGATGACTGGAGACTTGAGTGGGAAAGAAAGAAGATTGGATTGGATGAGGACATCTAGGCATCTAGTGCATGCCTGTAATCTAGCACTTTGGGAGGCTGAGACAGGAGGGTTACGGGTTTGGACTATATGCTTAGTTCCAAGTCAGCCTGGGTTAAATAGGAAGAGCCTGTCTAAAAGAGAAAAAGAATGGCCACTAATCCTAGCTACTGAAAAAGCTCTGACAATTGCAATTTGAAGCCAGGCCAGGCAGGAAACTCCCTAAGGCTCTTATGGCCTATTAACCACCAAAAAGCTGGATGTGGAGTTATGGCTCAAATGGTAGAATGCTCAGGGATAGTGTCCAGGCCCTGAGTTCAAGTCCTGGGACCAACACAAACAAACAAAAGGTCCAGGACAGGGGTTGGGAAGGTGGCTCAGTGGTAAAACATTTGCCTTGCATGCTTGAGGCTCTGGGTTCGATTCCTCAGTACCACATAAGCAAAAAGAAAAAAAAAAGCCAGAAGTGGCGCTGTGGCTCAAGTGGTAGAGTGCTAGCCTTGAGCTGAAGAGCTGAGGGACAGCACCCAGGCCCAGAGTTCAGGCCCCACGACCGGACCCAAAAAAAAAAAAAGGTCCAGGACAATACTGAAAGGGAGACACAGAATATGAACAACAGGGAATTCAGAAAAAGAGAAGAAAAATAATACAATTATTTTAGTGCTTCTATAGTGCTTTCTATGGCCTATAGGTTTTCATATATACTTCACTCAATCTTTCTTTAAACTCTGTGAATGAAGTTAGCACTCTAATCTTCCCACTGAGAAAATAGCTGTAAAAATAATTTTCTCAATGTCATGCCTCCAGTAAGCAATAGTGTTTCAACCTGCCCCCACCCCAATCTCCATGCAGGAGCATCTAGGCCAGTTCCCTGCCAGGTGCTAACATCAAGAGAGGAAGACAAGGTGTGGATCTTCTCTATCCAGCACCATAGTAGCAGAGGTGCCAGCCAAAGCCAGAAAGGCTGTTCAAAAAACAAAGCCACGTGCAACAAGAAAGTAGTTCAGAAACCAAATGGTCCATCCAGAAGTCAGATTGTTAGAGCCAAGAGGGGGTTAGTCTACAACGCCAAAACCTCACCCAAGAAAGGGCCCACATGCCAAGCTGAGAGGGAAAAAGGCCAGGAAACCTGAGCCAACATTCAAGTCCTAAAGACCTGGAGATGGAGAAGAAAGGAGGTAAAATTTGAGAGTTGAAGAACTCCACAATTTGGGCCCCTAGTTGGAAATGTTTTATGGAACGAGTAGTCTTTGTGTGCGTATGTGTGTGTGTTGTGTGTATATGTGCCAATGCTGGTTATTTAACTTAGGGCCAGAGATCTTGCTCTTAGCTTTTTTGCTCAAGGCTGGAGCTCTACAACTTCATTTCTGGGTTTTTTGCTGTTTAATTGGAGATAATCGTCTTAAGGACTTTTTCTGCCTAGGATTGGTGTGTACTGTGATCCTCAGATCTCAGCCTCCTGAGAAACTAGGATAACAGGCGTGACCTACCAGTAGCTGGTAGAATAATTATTCTTTAAACAAGGACCTGGAGGTTTCTGCTAACTGCACCTCCTCCCCTGGGATCTCCTGTAGAGAAGAGAGGACAGCCCAGCCCATGGGTCTACTCCCCCTGCAGAGTGGACCAAGGACAGGATCCTAGCCTGGACCTTGTAGGACTGTACTTTTTGCATTTCATTTGCATTTGGAGGAGAGGTTAAGGAATTGCCTAGGGAGGAACAGCAAGTATAGACCTGCTCCATGCTGGAGACTAGAGGAGGCAGGTACTGCCAGACCGGCCCATAGGACAGGCCTCTCATTGGCAGAATACTTCAGGATTCATTCATCCAAACCCCTGTCTGATGTAGGTATCATGTCTCTCCTCCTCTCCAATGTGTGTGTGTGCTGGTAGTTGGGCTTGAACACTGCATCATCTCATCTTGCTTTGTTTTTTTACTTAAAGCTGGTGCTCTACTACTTGAGCCACACCTCCACTTTTGGCTTTTTTGCTAGCTAATTGGAGATAAGGGTCTCTTGAATTTGTCTGCCTGGGCTAGTTTTGAACCAGGATCCTCAGATTTCAGCCTTCTGAGTAGCTAAGATTACAGGAATGAACCACCAGCACCTGGTTCTAATTTTCTTTCTTTTTCTCTTTTCCTTTTTTTCCCTTTCTTTCCTTCTTTCTCTCTCTCCCTCTCTTTCCTTTCTTTTTCTCTTTCCTTCCTCCCTCCCCCCTCTCTTTCTTTCTTTCTTCCTTCATCTTTTGCTGGTCCTGGGGCTTAAACTCAGGGCTTGGGTGCTATCCTTGAGCTCTATCCTCAAGGCTAACACTCTATTGCTTGAATGACAGCTCAACCTCTGGCTTTTTTAGTGGTTAATTGGGGATAAGAGTGTCACCAACTTTCCTGTCTGGCCTGGCTTTGAACTGTGATTCTCAGATCTCAGCCTCCTCAGTAGCTAGGATTACAGGAATGAGCCACTAGCACCTGATCTCCCCCCACCCCCTTTCCTCCTTTGGAGCAGAGTGAGTCCTCAAAGTCACACTGTCACATGCACATGAAGACCAGAACAAACTCAAATCTGGGATTCACTTTATGCAAATTCTGTGGTTAGGGAAGCCTTCCTGCAGGAAGAAGTGCTAGGCCTGCCCAATGACAGGGCACTAGGAACAGAAGATGACAGGATCTCTAGCCACAGGCACCAAAGACACAATGCAGCAGAAACAAAAACATTTTCTAGAGTGTGTGCTCTTGAGGGCCAGAAGGCTGGGTCTGGGTTCAGCAGGTGCAGCCGAGTGTGCACAGTCTCCGGGCCAGGAGTAGTGGTGCTGAGACAAGGTGTGCAGACGATGGCGAGGGGCCTTGGTGGGCTATGGAAGGCAGTGGAGAGGAGGGGGGCGCGCCAGGGCGCGGGGCAGAGAGGTGCCCACCCCGGGTAAACCGGGAGAGGAAGCAGAAAGCATAGAGCCCTGAAAGGTGTCGGAGTTAGGCTCCGGGAGGCATCTGCAGGCAGAAAGGCGGAGGAGCAGCGGGAGAGGAGCCCGGCTGTGACGGAGGAAACCCGCGCAAGGCGAGGCATCCTCACGGGAGGGCGCGTGAGGGCGCGTGAGGGACTGCGGGGCGGGAGCGCGGGGAGGGCGGGAGCGCGGGGAGGGCGGGAGCGCGGGGAGGGCGGGAGCAACCTGCCCGCACCCGGGTAACAAAGGCGGGACTACATCTCCCAGCATGCTCGGGCTCAGTCGGGGGGAGACAGCGGAGGTGGGCGCAGGACTCGGGTCTGCACCCGAGCCTGTCATCCGCGGGGGTCGGTGGGGTGTGCAGGGCGGAGTTTCCCCCGGTTCCCCGCCCCCAGGCCGCGCCCGTTTCCCCCCCCCATCTCCGCCCCGCGGCCCCCGCCCCTCGCCCCACCCCAGCCGGGAGCCTCAGCCCGGGCCGCAGCGCGGCGGCCGCAGCCCCGCTCCCGCCGCCCCCGCTCCGCCCCGTCCCCTTCTGTTTTTCTTCCATTCTCCGGCGGCGACGGCGGCGGAGGCGGAGGCGGAGGCGGGCGCAGCAGCAGCCGCGCTGGACTGCGATGCCTGATCCCCGGGCTCGGGGACGAGGACTGCAGGTGAGCCTCTGCCCCCGGGAGGGCTGGGACCCTCGGCCGTTCAGGACCTGCCGCCCCGCGGTGGATCCTTGAAGAGAGGAGGAGGAGGAAGGCGCAAAGGAGGAGGAGGACAAGGACGAGAAGGAGGAGAAGACAGCTCTGCCGCCCACCCCCCATCCCATTTTCCTTTATCTCATTGTTGCCGACGCCGCTTGCGGCCCCAGCATGGGGCGCGCTGGGCCGGCGCGTCTGCCGCCGCTGCCCGGGGATTCTGCCTGAATCCGCCCGCCCAGCTCCCGCACCGCGGACCGGAGAGAGCTCCGTGCAGGCCCGGACCGCGGCGGCGGCGGCGGCGGGGCCGCCTCCCAGCATCCCCCCCACCCTCGGAGGCTGAATGCGGATAGAGGAGCGGCGCCTGCGGGCTGGGCCGGCCCTGCTGATCCCGACCTAGGGGAGCCGGACGTCAGCGATCGCCAGGGCTGCGGAGGGAGGACGGAGCTGCAAGATGGCCAGCAAGACCAAGGCCAGCGAGGCCCTGAAGGTGGTAGCCCGGTGTCGCCCCCTGAGCAGAAAGGAGGAGGCCGCGGGTCACGAGCAGATCCTGACCATGGACGTGAAGCTGGGCCAGGTGACCCTGCGGAACCCCCGCGCGGCCCCCGGGGAGCTGCCCAAGACCTTCACCTTCGACGCCGTGTACGATGCCAGCTCCAAGCAGGCCGACCTGTATGACGAAACCGTGAGGCCCCTGATCGACTCGGTGCTCCAGGGCTTCAATGGCACCGTGTTTGCCTATGGCCAGACCGGCACGGGCAAGACTTACACCATGCAGGGCACCTGGGTGGAGCCCGAGCTGCGAGGGGTCATCCCCAATGCCTTCGAGCACATCTTCACCCACATCTCCCGCTCTCAGAACCAGCAGTACCTGGTCCGGGCCTCCTACTTGGAGATCTACCAGGAGGAGATCCGAGATCTGCTCTCCAAGGAGCCGGGCAAGCGGCTGGAGCTCAAGGAGAACCCCGAGACCGGTGTCTACATCAAGGACCTCTCCTCCTTTGTCACCAAGAACGTCAAAGAGATCGAACACGTGATGAACCTGGGGAACCAGACCCGGGCGGTGGGCAGCACTCACATGAACGAGGTCAGCTCCCGCTCGCATGCCATCTTCGTCATCACCGTGGAGTGTAGCGAGCGGGGCTCCGATGGCCACGACCACATCCGCGTGGGCAAGCTCAACCTGGTGGACTTGGCTGGCAGCGAGAGGCAGAACAAGGCCGGCCCCAGCCCCGCTGGCGGGCCAACTCCGCAGGCCACGGGGAGCGGTGGTGGTGGTGGTGGCAGCGGCGGTGGAGGCGGCGGAGAGAGGCCCAAGGAAGCCTCCAAGATCAACCTCTCCCTGTCTGCCCTGGGCAACGTGATCGCCGCCCTGGCAGGCAACAGGAGCACTCACATCCCTTACCGGGACTCCAAGCTGACCCGGCTGCTCCAGGACTCTCTGGGCGGGAATGCCAAGACCATTATGGTGGCCACCCTGGGGCCAGCCTCTCACAGTTACGATGAGAGCCTCTCCACCTTACGTTTTGCCAACCGAGCCAAGAACATCAAGAACAAACCCAGGGTGAACGAGGACCCCAAAGACACGCTGCTGCGAGAATTCCAGGAGGAGATTGCCCGCCTGAAGGCCCAGCTGGAGAAGAAGGGGATGCTGGGGAAGCGGCCACGGAGGAAGAGCAGCCGAAGGAAGAAGGCTGTGTCAGCCCCGGCCGGGTTCCCTGACGGGCCTGTGATCGAGGCCTGGGTGGCGGAAGAGGAGGATGATCACAACAATAATCACCAGCCGCCCCAGCCCATCCTGGAGACAGCCTTGGAGAAGAACATGGAGAATTACCTGCAGGAGCAGAAGGAGCGTCTGGAGGAGGAGAAGGCTGCCATTCAGGACGATCGCAGCCTGGTGAGTGAGGAGAAGCAGAAGCTGCTGGAGGAGAAGGAGAAGATGCTGGAAGATCTGCGGCGGGAGCAGCAGGCCACGGAGCTGCTTGCGGCCAAGTACAAGGTAAGGGCACCCAGAGGAGCTTGACAAAGAGGTCCCTGCCAGGGTCTTGGCTAGGAGGTTCTCCTTTGGGGGTCAGTAAGATGGCCTGAATTTGCCTAGACTCCTCAGGCAGGTTGCTGTGGTGATACTGGATGGCCAGGCACATGTATGTGCGTGCACATGCGCAAAACGAAAGCAGCAGGTCCTCTTGAGACAATGAAGTTGGAGTGGCCTGACCTGCCTCCTGCTGTCAGTAGTCCCAGGATGGATGGGGTCTGAGGGATGGCCAGGCAGGACCCGGCACCTTATGAGTGTGGTTCTTGCTCCCTGAACAGCCTCTTCTGGTATTTCCTCCTTCTGCACCATCTCCAGATTTCGCACGCTATGAACAACATCTGGCACTAGCTAGCACTTCACAGTTTGCAAAATAGCTCACTTATATACATCTCTTTTGATCAGTCTGATCTCTTAATCAGAATGACCATTCGGGATAGTGGTCTTATATCTCCATTTTACAGGTGAGAAACAAAGGCTCAGAGATGTGACAGGACCAGGTTTCATTCTAGAAAGTAGCAAAGCAGAGAGCTGGATGTCACAGACCTCATGCTTTTCAATGGCAAGACAGAAGTGTGAGTGGATTCCGCTTTCTATAAACATGGCCCACTGGGTCATGCAATGCCAGGCCCATTCAGTGCTGGGTCTGTTCCTTGGTATCATCAGGAAGTAGATTTTGAGGGCCAGGCAGGATGTAAGGTGGAAAGAAGGCTGGGCTCTGTACTGGAGACCTAGAGTCCATGTCTTTTATTCTACAGCTGGAGTGACCTTGTGAAATTTGTTGCCCTTTTTGTACAGTAGGTTAACCTGCAGGCTAGCCTGGGTAACCTAAGGCTCCACCAATCTGAAGATTCCATGAGCTAACAAACCAAGTGGCCTGCACAACCAGACCTTGTCTAGTTTCCCCATTGCCTTGGGACATGGCAGGGCCTCCATGTCCTTCCTGAGCCATTCCCTTCTTATGGGAGCCACCAGCCCTAAGTGAGGCCAAGCTAACTGAGCCAGCCACAGACCCGATAACTTTCAATTCTGCAGGTGCCACAGCTCAGGATTCCAGCCACTTCCAAGTCCCTCTGGAGCCTCAACACTAGGGGTTGAAGGAAGGACACAGAGAACCGTGAGATTACTGAGAAGAGAAAAACATTGCTATGACTTACTCCTCCTTGGGTTATGACCTGGGAACAGGGAAGCCCAGCCCACAGCCACTGAAAGAGCAACAGCCAGCCATGTGCATTGTCTGTGTGCTGCTGCACCAGGGGCTCTGGCCTCGAGTGTTTAATATTTAATTCACCCCCGTGAGCTCTGCAAGGATTAGTCTGAATTGCTTCCTCAAGGGAAGGATCAGGGGTCTGGCATGGCTAGGGTCTATCCTGGGAGAAGCAGGTTGTTAAAGGCAGGCCTGTTAGGCCAGTGATGCCTGTCAGGAGAGAATCCAGCAGGTAAGCTAGTTCGGTCCACTGGGAAATCTTACCTGGTCCATCTGGCCATTAGTTTCACTAGGAAGACATCCCCAGTACCCTTAGGCTGTGAGACATTGGGAGCCACAGAGGATAAGAAGGGAGGAGAGTATAGATGGACACTTCAGCTGCCTGAGGAAATGGGTAAAAGGGCAAGCTTCTTATGATTAGGAAATGGCTGGCTTCCCTCAGTAAGATTCTTCAGTCCAAGCCCATGCAAGGACAGTCAAGAGATCAAAGTGTAGTCAGGCACAGTGGCATACACATGTATTTCCATTACTTAGTGGAAGTGGAAGGATTTCTTGAGCCCAGAAATTTAAGGGCAACATGGAAGACCTTGTCTCGAATGGATGAATGAACAAATGAATGAATCAGTCAGTCAATCAGCCAAAAATCAAGGTGGTCAATGCTGGAATTATTTTTTGCATGTGTGCTGTTAATGGGTTTGAAATCAGGGCTTGTGTGCTGTCGCTTAATTTGGTACTCTACCACTAGAGCCACAGTACTACTTCCAGCCTTTTGATGGTTAACTGGAATTATGAGGTTTATGGAATTTCCTGCTCAGGCCAGCTTCACACCTCAATCCTCATATCTCAGCCTCTGGAGTAGCTAAGTGTGAGCTACCAGCATCCGACTGGAATTCTTGTCCCAGAGTTGTAGCCTGTGTACCATAGGCTAGCAAGGACCTTGGGAAACTAAGGTATGGGAATGGTCCAGGTGAACTGAACAGAGCCCAGACATATCACAGCCCAGCCTCTACATTGCTCTGGAGACCTCATGTTACCTATACTCCTTGATAATAGGACATTTGTTTTATTTTTGCTTATGTACCAGTCCTGGGGCTTGAACTCAAGGCCTAGCTTTTGTGCTCAAGGCTAGCACTCTACTACTTGAGCCACAGCTATACTTCTGGCTATTTTGGTAGTTAATTGGAGAGAAAAGTCTCACAGACTTTCCTGCCAGGCTTTGAACCTCAATCCTCAGATCTCAGCTTCCTGAATGGCTGGAATTATAGGCATGAGCCACCAGAACAGAGCAGAGTCATATTTGTTTGTTTTTGAGTTTTTTGATGCTGTTGCTGTTGTTGGTTTTTGTTTTTGTCAGTCATGTAACTTAAACTCAGGGCTTGGGTACTGTTGTTAGAGCTTTTTCTCTCAAAGCTAGCACTCTACCAGTTTGAACCATGGTGCTACTTCTAGTTGCTGGTGATTAATTGGAGATAAGAGTCTGATGGACATTCCTGCCTGGGCTGGCTTCGAACTGTGATCCTCAGATCTCAGCCTCCCAAGTAGCTGGGATTATAGGCATGAGCTACTGGCACCCAGCTTCCATTGTTTCTATTTTATTCAAATGTTCTTACTATTATTATAAACGTGATGTACAGAGGGGTTACAGCTTCATAAGTCAGGTAAAGAGTACATTTCTTTTTTGACACTGTCACCCCTTCCTTTGCTCTCTCCTAGTTTTTCCCTTCCACTCCCACCTACAAGTTGTATAGTTCATTTTCAACATAGTGTCTAGTGAGTACCACTGCTGTATTTGTTCACCTGTTGTGTCATTTTTTTTTAATGTAACACTTAGGCATTCTAATCTCATTTAATCTTTCCAACAATCCCAAGGGATGAACTCTGTTATTTCCATCTGACAGATATGAAAACCAAGGCTGGGGTGGTGGAAGCTAACAACTGACACTAGTATTGGAACCCAGGTTTTCTGATGTCTGTCTCCTACCCCTGTGCTTTTTCCAACTTACCCCAGATGCCTTCATGTCTGCTCACTGTGTGACTCAGGGCAAAGGCCTTTGCCTCTCTAGGCCTCTGGTTTGCATCTGCTTAATGAGGACAAGCCTGACATTGCTCCCTGGGAAGCGGGTAAAGTGGTCACCACACACAGGCATTCAGATCTAGGCAAAAGGGGAGCTCAGCCTGGGGAATTCCAGATGGGGAATGAGTCTGTATCCTGTGACTTCCAGTCACACCCAGTGGAGGGCAGTCTGAAGGGAGCCAGCTTGGAATAGAGTCCCTGACTGAAGACCCAACATTTCTGGCCTGAAGACACAACATTTCTGGCCTAGCCCCAAGAGGGAGCACTGCCCACTTCAGCCCTGTTGTTTCTGGGATGCTGGAAACAATTTGCCTGGCTCCCTCTGGAGCCACAGGGTAGAGATAACAATCCAGGCTTGCCTCTTTCCCAGGCTGTGCTAAAGATTAAATGAGATCATTAGCAGGAGGGCATTTGAAATAGGTCAGAAAACGTCAAATAAGTGGAGGGCATTAGCAGCCACAGGGTGGCTTCTGTCTGCCAAGCAGGGAGCCCGTGATCTTCGGGAATGACATCTTTGTTGTCAGCTTAAATCCTTCCTCCCTCAGCCACACCAGCTGCATCAGCATTGGCCTAGCCATAGGGAGCTTTTGCTCCCCATCTACAGCTCAGTCCTGTCTCCACTTTCTGAATTATGGCATTATCCCCAGTTTTTGCTGCTCCCCCACCCTATTCCCTGGGGCAGCTGAACAGTAGTTGAGGCGACCCAGTGCCCTGGTTCACTCTCTGACTCATCTTACAGTGTCGCCTACTCTCCCTGCCTGCCACCTCCAAGGCTCCCGGTTCTCTTTGTTCTCCCCCGGCTGTGTACAGACACCAGGCCTGTCTCCTCAAATCTCTTTTCATCTCTTCTTGTGTATCTACAACATCTGCTATATTTACCATGGGCCTTGGGGTTATGTGAGGGTGGACAGATGTGTGAGAATTTGTGATTGTGATCAGGGCTTGTTAACGTTACTCATCATTAGCGAGCTGATCTTAGGGAGTATCTCCAGAGGACTGGGAGGTAGGGCAGTCTTGGCCTGTGCAGTAGAAGGATTCAGTGACATCAGAAACCCACCATGCACAGGGAAGACTTAGCTATTTGAACTGTAGAGAAAACGCAAGCGCTTGTGTACAGTGTGTACACTGAGATGTGACTGGTCAACATAGCGAGATTGCTTGATAGAAGGCCTGTTCTCCTCAAGTGTAATTAGGCAAGACATCTTTCCCATAGCTGCTTTAACTTGAAAATTAGAGGGTTGTTTTTTTTCAATGGTTGAACTAGGTGTTTTTCTACCACTCTGATTTTAGCAACTCAGGGAAAGGAACATGTTTGCAGGAGGCAGAGGTTGCAGGCTTAAATTGAAGCAATCCAAAAAAAAGCTCTAGGTGTGATCCACAGTATGTAGATCTGCCAGGTGAGGGGCGGGGGGGGGGCGCGCTTGGCTACAGCTCAGCCTCCTCTGTGGTGGGTGTAGAAAAGAAGCCCTGCAGAAATGGCCCCCAAACCCACAGTACAGCACAAACTGCACTGAATTTTCGCTGTCTGCTTTGTGGTCGTTCATCCTCTGCTGCTGTGGCATGAGGTTGTCAGCCATACAGGAGGGCACAAGAGGGGGCTTTCATGCCTGAGAAAAACCACTACTAGCAGGATTAATGAGGTTTATTGACCATTTGCTCTGTGCCAAGTGCTATGCAATATGTAAA